TGTATACTATACTAATAGTATAATATACTATATTATAATATTATTTGTATACAAAACTAATATCTTTATATATAAATATATAAATATGGAAAGATATAAATATATGTAAAAATATAAACATATAAATATATATAAATATGTAAAGATATAAACATATATCTTTAATATTTTGTAAATGTAAATATAATTTATATATATTTTTAAATCTTTTTCTAATATTTATTTTTAAAAATATAATATTATTTTTAAAATTTAATATTTTTTTTTCAAATATATAAATATATAAAGATATAAATGTATAAGGATATAAATAAATATATAAATATATCAATATATAAATATATCAAAATATAAAAATATAAATATATAAATATATTAATATATAAATATATCAATATATAAATATATAAATATATAAATATATATAAATATATATATATATATATATATATATATATATATACAAATATATCAATATTATCCCCTCATATATTAATATACATTATTAGCATAATTTTAATTTAATTAAAAATTAGAATACAAATATACTATACTATACTAATATACAATTATTTGTAGATTTTATATATTAAAATATATAAATATATTTTTATTTATAGATTTTATATTTATATATTTATACTGGATATACATTTATTTGTATATAAATATAATTTATTTGTAAGTTATTATTAAAAGATCCTAAGTAGCTCAGTGGTTGGAGTTTCACCTCCAACTCTAAGGTACCGGTTCGAATCCCGACAATGACAATAAACCACCTAATAATAAGTTAAACTTCTAAAAAATATAATAAAATTAAGAGATAGGGGAAATAAATATAAATAAAAACTTAAATAAGCAAAATATAATATAATTAAGAGATAGGGAAAATAAATAATAGATATAATAAAAGTGTAAATAAATAAAAAGAATTAAATTTTAGTGACCGATTCAGTGACCGATTTGGTTATATATAATCGGTCACTGATTCGGTCACTGAATCGGTCACTAAAATCAGTGACCAAGGAAATAGTGACCGATTCCAGTTGGTCACTATTTCGGTCACTATTTTAATTAGTAACCGATTTTGCAGATTTAGTGACCGAATTTTCGGTCACTATTTGATGTTTTTCTTGTAGTGAAAAAAAATCTTGTTTTTTGCTCAAATAAGGTTCAAAATAATTTCTTCTAATTAATGCATGGTTGGTTATTTGACTCTAGGTTATTTCTACTTTCACCAAACAAAAAATTGCCTTTATCATTTTCAAGTTTCGCTAACATGCAATCACATCAAAGAATCAATCAATACCAGTTATCTTCATAAAGTGTTGACACTCAATTTAACTGTTTTTGGGTATACTACTCTCTTGGGTTTCAGCTAACTTCTTCAATTTAGTTAATTCCTAATTCTCCTCATCAATTCCTTTTTCACTATCATACTCATCATCCCAAAATCACTTGTTATTAGAAACAATCAAAATGATTTTTAATTCTAGATTTGAATTAGATAATAAGCAATGATTTCATATATAACTCTAAGACAAACAAATTATGTGGGACAACAAAGAAATTTAATAACATTGAATTAAAAACATTAAAAACATTCAATTACAAACATCAAATTAGAAACATTAGAATCAAATTAAGTTTCATCCCTTATTCATCTTCACTTGACAACTCTTCCTCATCTTGTGCCTCAGCCCCTCCCTGAAAAGTTGGATTGTCTAAAGGCCATTGGAGTAAGGCTTCAAAGTATTGTGGAGAAGTTCACAGTGTACTTGGAGTAATCTGCAAAGAAAGTCTATGAAAATCTGCATTAACAAGTTAAACCAAATATTGTTAAAAAAAAAACTGATTCAAAAATTGACACAATTCAGAATAAACTAATCATGCACCAAAAACTGACACAATTCACAATTGTAACAGGGATAGTAAAACTGCCAGGGTCTTTGGATTTTTTTAACTAGGATTTTTGAAAAATTGTACTACATCCTGCTTCCAATTCTATTGTCTATTCTTCAGCAAATCTTCTCTTTTTGGTGAGGAGTTCTTTCATGAATTTGGCATATGTTGGCATTTACTCCATGACTTCCACAAAAGGTATATTGATCTGCATTCTTTTGAAAATGTCCATAAATCTGGTAAATTGTCTTTCTTTATCTATTTTTGAAGGAGCCTTGGGATAGGGTAACTTCATCACAAGTGGGTTTTGACTCCCTCCTTTTTCTTGGGCAGATTCATACGTGATGCTCTCTTCTCTTTTTATCTTTTGTTTTTCTTCTCCCTATTCGTTATTCTTATTAGGGAGATGTCTTTCTTTATTACTCTCTTCTTCTCATCCTTCATCTTCTTTTCCCAAAACCTCTTCTTCAACAGCGAGATTGTCATTAATCCCCTTACCTACAACTTTTCCACTTCTTGTAACTATTGACTTGCAATGCTCCTTGTGGTTGGTTTGTGTGTTGGCTGAAAAATATCCTCATTACTGCTCAGATACTTGTTTAGCCAATTGGCCCACCTGAGTCTCTAAATTTCTGATCGAAGCCTCCGTATTTTTCTGATTAGACAAGGAAGCTTGCATAAATTTCTCCAGGATGTCCTTCAATTTGGCTGTTCTCTCATGCACTGGAGGATAATGTTGTTGTTGATATGGAGGTTGCTGGTATGATTGTTGTTGATATGAAAGTTGTCTATTAGATAGACCAGCATCTTGTTTCCACCTAAAGTTTTGATTTTGATTCCCTCTCCATCCTTGTGAAAAATTATTCTGATAATTATTGGAATTAGGGAAATTTGCTTGTCTTCCTTGACCACTACCTCCTTGAGCACCCATATAATGAGCTTCTTCTTCTTGTAGGTTGCCTTGGTAAGAGCAATGTCCATTTGGATGATCACCTCCACAAAAGTCACAACTCATTTGTTGGTTGGAAGTGATTGGACATCATGTAATTTTTGAGTCAGAATTTTATTCTGATTTTTGCCATTTGTTTGGTCAATGCTTCAATCTGTTGAGTCAGAATTTTATTATGAGCTAGGATAGCATCTATGGTGCTAAGATCAAGCAATCTTTTTCTCTAAACTGAATGTTTATCATGTTGGGTCTGCTGGTCTGTAGAGGTTAGTGCATTAATAATTCTTGTGGCATGTTCAGCATCCACATACATCATGGTTCCTCCTACTGTAGCATCTAAGAGCATCTTTGTATCAAGTCTCAGGCCAGTGCAGAAAATGTTCAATTGGACAATGTCTTCAAATCCATAATTTAGGCACCTCCTTAACAGTGATTTAAATCTTTCCTATACTTCACAAAAGGGTTCATCTGCTCCTTTTCTAAAAGTAGAAATGTCGAATTTTGTCTTGATGTAGCGGGATGGTGGAAAAAAATCTATTCAGGAACTTCTCTTCTACATTACCTCAGTTGGTCAAACTCTGATTAGGATGTGCTTTTAACTACTCATTTGCCCTGCCAGCCAGTAAAAAAGGAAATAATCTCAAGTATGCAGATTCAATATCTCATTCTTTAAACCCCATTGTGTCAATCAACTCATAAAAAGTGGACAAATGAATATAGGGATCTTCATGATCCATTCCGGTGAATTAATGAGCACGAATTAAGCTTAAGAAGGTTGACTTCATCTCAAAAGACTGGTTGGCTGGTATTGCAATGTTGGAGAAGTGCCTCGGACCTTGACCTTGTTGCATATTATAGTCTCCAAGTATTCTTCTAGGTGGGTTCACTTTTTCACCCTTCATGTCTTCTATGATTGGGTCTGGTAAGTTGAGTGTGAGAGAAGAGTTGACTGATTCTCATGTTGTTTGTTCTTGAGTTTCTCTTCTTCTTTTACCACGATTCCTCCGAGCGGCCTTTTCAATCTCAGGATCAAATTCTAACTAATCTATAGATACCTGTCCTTTTAAAATCATAAATCAAAGAGCAACACAAGCAAAAATTAGCATAAGAGAAACAATAAAAAGAACAAATAATATGTTAGACAAAGAATTTTCAAGGAACGCCGATCCCCGACAACGACGCCAGAAATATTTATTGGTCTTTTGACAAATGTACCAATATTATCAATAATAGGATAGTATTTCAATTAAATACAAATTGATCCCACGAGGAACAATTTTACTAAAAATTCCGAATCATATGTTTACTAAGTGTATTGACACAAAATTGATTAAATAGATTAAAATCATCATAATTTAAGTGGTTAAATAATAATTAAAAACATAATTATATCAACTTGTACCACAGTTTCTAAATATCAATAGTTTGAAAATTTAATTAGGCTATAAAATTATACATATCCTTAATTAGGCTATAAAATTATACATATCCTTATATAGTGAAAGAAATTAATTAATTAAAATAATATGAAGATTAAAAAAAAATATCTAATCAACTTTCGTCCTCACATTAAATAATCATGAAGGGTTAGAACCAAATTTAACTTATATGTTACTTGTAATAATGAATTGAAAATAAGAAAAGCAAACACAAGTTCTTCCAATTTCTGTTCTTAGACGCAAAAGAAAATGGGGCCAAGGGTTACTCATCTTCCTACACAATATCCCTAGTTTTATCATATCAGTGCTGTAATAAGGAGAGTATGCAACATCTCACACCTCCATTATTATTGCAACAATTTCCATGTCTACAGTGTCAGTCATTTAACTAAATAAAGACATCCAACTAATTACACGAACTGGTCCAGTTGTGTTTATGAGTCAACAGTCTTCAGATGAAGGAGGAAGGACAAAAAGATTGAAAGTCGGTGGTGAATAAAAGGAGGAAAGTGATTATAGACACATGCATGCATGATGTTGAATATCGTTGCTGTTGTCAACTGTAACGTGGAGTGAGTTTATTGATCGAAAGAGGGAATATGGACATTGATTTTTGTCTCAGCGAGGAAATAAATTCAGTGATCTGCAGAAATTTGAGCTGCAAACTTTGAAAAAAGAAGCGAAAGATTTTGACTACAGTGGCGACACACATGGCCGACATCTTTGCTGGGGACCCCCACGTCTCTTTCCTTCATCGCTCCAATGGCGTCGATATCTATGGAGTTTGTATATCATGTGTGTGTAATATATGTATCACTGCTTGTTTGGTTTTGGTTTTGGTTTTGGTTGGTGACCTCTCTCTTTCCCTCTTTTCCTTTTCTCCCTCAAGCTTTTAAATAATCGGGAGCATATTTTGTTTATATATAGTTTCATGCATGTTTAATATATATCTCCGCTAATTAATGCATGTCAGAAAATGGTTGAATATTGAACTTTGAAACACGACCCATACGCGACCGTCTCTGGCACATTTTTCATCTTCCTTTTTTGGTTCTGCCATTACTTTTAAGTTTTGAGCATTTGACATGGATGATGATTTTCTTGTTAACAGGACATACAAATAATAAAGTGTTATTATTTATATTGTAGATGAAACAAAATAAAATATAACAACGAAGTAGGTAGTTGATTTGGTAGGTATAGTGCGTGTAAGTTGAGTGTTGAGTTCGTAAATATTTTTAAAAAGGGAGGATTCTGTGAGACACAATCATAGTGTTCTTTTGCGACCAGATTTAAAAGGTTAACTGTATGTGCTCACTTCACTTCGTCGTAATAAGTGGACCTTCAAATATGTCTCCCAAAGTATCCCACTCAACAACTATTACTCGTGCCTTTTAACTCTCATCATTATTCTTCTCATCTTTCTTTTTCCTTTCTCTTTTTCACTCTTGCTACATCTTTATTGTTTTGGTTTAGAAAAGTAAAAGAGAAAAAAACCAAAGAAAATAAAAATAAAATGGTTTTGAGGCTAACAAAAATAAATAAATAAAATATCAAAATTTTCTTTTTACTTATTGATTGTGGAGAGTAGGAGGAAAACAAAATATGTATATAATCTCATACCCTATCCCAAAACTAATTATTAAATAAATATTATGAAATTAGAAATGTGATTTTCATTTGTTGAATAAAATAATAATATAAAACATTTCTTTATATGATTTTAATAATATGAAAGCTAAAAATAAAGTTAATTAGCCACATAACTTAGCAAGAAACCTAAAGTGATATACTTTTTCTTTTATGATGTAAGCGATTGTATAAAACTTTTCCAAAATCAAGTCCTCTGACATCATAAATAAGTGTAGATTTCAAATATTTCATACCATTATGAGAACATTCGTACTTATTGAATAATGTTTCTTTTCTGTAAACAAGAACATACATAAGATAAATTTATGTTTAGAATAAAAATAAAAAATCAAAAGCTGAACCTGAAAAAATTCTCCAAAATAAATAAAGATAACATAAATTAAGACCTTTATATGAGTTAGATTGAAAAAAACCTACCATAACGACCTAATACTCTACTTCATTAGCTTCTTCAAGTTTATGGTTTTTCCTCTTGAAGAAATAGGCTGTGAACATTTAACTTATATTTATGCTTCTTATAGTACTTAAATTCTCCCTTGAAGAACCTTCTTGATTGGTTCCAGAAGTAAAATGCCTTCCTTTAGTCATAATTCAATTTCTCGTGAATTTTCTTTTTCACACCCTTTAGTACCAAAGATTCAACCAGAAAACTTGTCATTTTATGGTTCTTAACCGCCACTTTTTTAATAAAATAATTAAAAAATAGGTGTGATATGAAATAGTCAATGTGATAATTCTATTTTTAATTTTAAAATATAATAATTATTAAATAAATTTAAAAATTGAATGTTACTATATCAGTTTTTCTTTTAAATTTTTATATAGTAAAAAATTATATGAAATAGAATTATATAATACAAAATCATCTTTAGATAGCTAAATAAAACTATAATATCAAATAAAGGTCAATAATATGAAAATATGTAATAAAAATAAACATATTATAGAATTAAATTAAAAAATATTAATAAATTTAATAATAAAAAGTATTAATAGTTTTAGAACAGTAAAATATAATAAAATAAATTTTTAAATTTAAAATATTAGTATAAATTGTGTTATAAAAATTAGAATGCTTTAAAAATTTATTGTGCTATTAATATTAAAATTTTAAACGTTATTAGTATTTATTATATTTTAAAATAATATAGATTATTATATTTTCAATTTTAAAGACTTTATTAATTGAAATTTTGATGGTATTATATTTTATTGTATTTGCATCAATAAGAAAATTAAGGATTAAATTGAACCAAAACTGGAAAAAGATAAATAATTAATAAGATACAAAATAAAGTAACCCTATAAACACAAAATACTCTCGACAATTTAGTGTGAAATATTTTAGGATGATACCAAATCTATAAATTTTTTTTAAAGTCTAAAATAGTATTTTTAAAATTAGATGGCTTAAGAATTGATCAAATTGGGCCTAAAATAGGCCTACAAGTCGATAAATTGGTGTCGATAAATAATAAAAATTGGATCCTAAAAATGGGTTAGAAAACCTACGAATTTGAGCCCCAAACTCTCCTACAATTCAACATATTATAGAGTGGGTTTTTTATGTGTAGATTTACAACTTAAAAATAAGTAGTAGCGCACTTTCAATTGTTTTAATTGCTTTGTGAGAATTATTGATTGAACGTGCAAAAGTGGGTTCCAAATCAAAATTTACAGAATTCTAGCAAGGATGACAAAAAGCCCCAAAAAACGTAAATTAAATAGTTTGGAAATTTTTGGGAATTGGAGGATAAAAGTGAGCATTTTTTTCAACCCAAATCATGAATTAGCTACAAAATTCCCTCTATTTGTAATAATTGTATCTCGTTTTTCTACAATTATGGGTGATGTTCATTGACCAACCAAAACCCTCAATCAACTTCGTTAATCACACCAATATGAAAGCTGTAACATAGGTGAAATAAAAGGAAGTTAATAAGTTTAAAGTGTAATTTTTATTTCAAATAATAACATATTAATTTTGAAATAATATGAAAAAGGGTTTGAGAATTTTTAAAGAACCTAAATCTATCTCTTTTTAAAAAATTCAAAATTATGATATTTTTCTGAAAAAAAAAATCATTCAAGGTACGCAATTTTCTGAAAAGAAATCATTCTGAAAAAAAAATCATTCAATTTCTTCCAATTCTCTCATTTATTACACGTGGGACTAGTAATAACAATGTTAAAAGAATTAGAAGATGTTCACCGAACTAGGAAAAAAATTCGTGTTTACTACTTTAAAGGAGAAGAAAAGAAGGAAAACGTTCCTTTTTGCTTGAAAAGTTTGATTTTTCATGTATGATAGGCACACATGTCTAATATGTTCATAATATATTGGAGCAAACGAAAGTTTTTTATTTTTTATTTTTTTAGCATCAAACGAATACCTTATTATCAATCATTAACTTATATTACAAACTAATAATTAAGATTCATAAATCAAGCACCATAAAGTATCATATTTTCGTAATAAATATTAATAAACTAAATTTAGTTTAATAATCAATGAACTCAATTGTGGAATTATTAAACGTACTCATTATTATATTATGTATTGTAGATATTTTTTCAAATCTATCATCCAATTATACTTGAATAGCACACTTTTACTGGAAAGTGTTAAAAATTAATAAATTTTTTAAAATATAACAATATTTATTAAATATAAATATATATTATAGAATTTTATTTAATATATATATATATATATATATGAAATAAAAATAAATATAATTTTTATATAAAATAAAAATATATTTATATAATTATATTATTAAAATATTTTTATAAATATGGTAAATACAAATATATTTAATCTATATATATTTATATCTTTTTAGATAACATTTTTTATATAAATAAATTATATATATTATTTAAATATATTTTTAATATAAAATAATTGTAGTAAGTAAAAATAATATTTTTTATAAAAATATGATAAATACATTTTTATTAATATAATATAAAATAATTTTAATTTAAAATTATATATAAACATTTTATTATATTTTTATATATTTTTATAAATATGATAAACTCAAATTTGTATTTTGTTATATACATTATAAATTTATTAAATATAATATATAATAAATATAAATATATACTTTTATATATAATAAAAATATATTATATAATTATATGTTTAATATATTTATATATACTTTTATAAATATATTTATATATTTATAAATTTTATTTAAATATACTTATATAATATTTATATATGATAATATAATACTTACTACAATTATTTTATATTAAAAATATATTTAAATAATATATATTATTTATTTATATAAAAAATATTATCTAAAAAGATATAAATATAATTTTATTAAATTTTATTTTATTTATAAAAATATAAATAAATATTTAAATATTATTATATATATAGATTAAATATATTTGTATTTACCATATTTATAAAAATATTTTAATAATATAATTATATAAATATATTTTATTTTATATAAATTTTTTTATTTCATATATATATGAAATAAAATTTTATAATATATATTTATATTTAATAAATATTCTTATATTTTAAAATTTTTATTAATTTCTAACCCTTTCAATAAAATTGTGTTATTCAGGTAAATAATATATACAGTATGCTATCCACGTATATTTACTTTAATTGGATGGTAGATTTGAAAAAAAAAAGTACTGGCACAACTAAATATAATCGTTAGGGACATATCATAAAAAATATGGTGCAAGTGAGAGTTTAATATTCTTGATCTCAAGATTTCACTCAATAATAAATCCTTATCAACTAACTTACATTTGTTTTCTAAAGAATAACATAATATTAGTTTCTTTATCTTAAAATAATATATTTAATTTTAATTATAATTTTTTTCTTTTAAAATTTATCTGGGTCTAGGAGGTTATATATATATATATTTTTTTTTTTAAATTAATAATTTTGAGGTTGTAGACGTATTCTGAGATGTCGGTTTTTGTAACAGATGGTGTGGAATTTTAATGCATTCATTGTTTGTAAAAATTTACGAAACATAAAACCTCTTTTTAAAAAATTTCAACTTTCTAAATATAAAAGCTTCTCTAATTTTTACGTAATTAATCTTTAATCGTGACTTCCAATTTTTAACATCATTCTTTCAAATTTGGTTCATGATTCCATCGTAATATTAGTAATAATATCAATGTAACGAATCTAATTAAAACCTTTAGCAGAATATTGTTATCATTATTTTTAATTAATTGTGTTTTTCAATTTCCTTTTTTTCTCAATTTTCTATTTATTATTATAATATTATAATGAGCTTAATGCTATAGTCAATATAATCTTATATTTTATACTCATCATGATAAATTTACTATACCTCTGATAAATAAAATGCTTTCAAATACGAAAATAAGAAAATAATCACAGAATATTTGTTTACCACATTCCTCTAAAAGAATAAACTCTCCTACGTTATATGTTATAGTGATTAGTAATAATATAAAAGCAAGTTATGTTTTTTACGAAAATAAAGGACATAAAAAATATACCATCAACTATTATTAGTATTTAGATCGTTATTTTAATAGTAAAAAATTTAAATTATTTTAATGAATATTTGCTATTTTTTTAATGAAAACAAAATATAAATATCAGTTAATTTATCTTTACTTTTTAAAATCTGGCTTTTGACACATACAAATATTCGTAAAGTAACTTAGAAAATTCTGATGATAGCGTAGTTTTCTTTTTCTGATTGAATGTTCACAAACTGTGAAAATTACTAAGTGCAAATCAGTATTTTAAGTGATTAAAACATGCGCAAATAGTAATTATAATCAGCAATGACTTGAGTATGATGATCGAATTATGCTGACGACAATGACCTATATCTTATCCATTTCATTCTTTGGGTCATCATCATCATCATCCATGGACCCATACCATACCCATGTACGAAAACGGGTATTTAAAGTGTTGATTCTAGACACGCCTTAGACTCTGGTTCAACAACAACAACAAAATCCATCCCATCCAAATGGTAAAAAACATTGGCATTGATTATAGGATAACGATTTTTGAAAACCTAAATAATCAATAAATAATTTATCATTAAAATTATTGGATTAACAAAAATTAATTTTATTTCATTATTTTTTTAACAAATAAAAAAAAGATTCTCAATTATAATTTATTTTGATTTGTTTATTTTTATAAATTATTTGATAAATATTTACAAAACATAAAATTGTTTCAAAACAAGTAATAGATTATTTAAACTTAATGAAATGTGATGCTATTTTGTAACTCAAAATAAGGTGTAATTTTAATTTGTCCTATAATTTATTAAAGTGGTTAGTAATATGAACCTGGTCATTGGTCAGTGCAGCCGAAACAGGGCACAACCGGGTCAAAGCGTTAACTTATGCATGCAGTGACAGACAGTGTGAGTTTTGGAACAAGTTAGGACTGAATTTTGTCAGTAGCAAAAACAAGGGTGAACCGTGGGCGCCACTTTCACACTTCAAGTGGGCCCACAAAAGATCAAGCCTACAATCAATGCCAACTGTTCCCGTGTCCGCGTCCACATCGTAGCCACGTGCTTTAATGTTTTCAGTTACCAAGGCTAAAACCTACATATACTCCACACATAACATAGTCCATTCTAATCTACTCACTTCTCACTCAGTCAATTTCGCAGCTCAACCAATTGCAAACAAAACCAATCAATTGCAAACATCGTTCCAAAAATGAACATTCTCGGACAATCATCTCAGCAATCCAACAACGTCTGCTACTCTTGCTCCTCCCCGGAAACAAGCTCCTCAAACGCTCCCAACGCCGTTCACTCCGATGAGGAACTGCATGCATTAGCGTCGGCGCGCCCCAAGAAACGTGCGGGGCGTCGAATCTTTAAGGAGACACGCCACCCCGTCTACCGAGGAGTGCGACGGAGGAACAACAACAAGTGGGTCTGCGAGGTGCGGGTCCCCAATGACAAGTCCAGAAGGATTTGGCTCGGAACGTACCCAACCCCTGAGATGGCCGCACGTGCGCACGACGTTGCCGCGCTCGCGCTCCGAGGCAAGTCCGCTTGTATCAACTTCGCCGACTCGGCTTGGCGGCTTCCCTTGCCGGCGTCGACCAATGCGAAAGAGATACGGCGAGTGGCGGCTGCGGCTGCTATGGCGATTGCGACGGAAGACAGTTGCTTCAAGCAATCAGAGAACGAGATTAATGTGAATGCCGTGGCTGATTGCGAGGTTAGCAGCAGTGACGTCAGCGTTGATGAAGATGCCAAAGCCTTGCGGGGGTTTTGTAATTTGGATGAAATAACAATGCCGGATGCATCAGGTTTTGAAGACATGCATGAGTGGCTTCAGAGTATGGTGGATGAACCTCTGCGATCGCCTACTTTTGTAACATATGTTAGGGACTGGAACTTTGTGGAGGATGATGCTGAGGTTTCTTTGTGGAGCTTCTCCATCTGACGCGCATGTAAATTTGCCTTTAGCTGTATGTAGTGTGTGTAGTTTTGTTCGTCTTCCCTTCGTTTTTGGTTTTTGTACATAACGAAGATTATGAAATTGTACCAAGACCGAGACGACAAAAGCAGCTAGCTAGGGCTAGGGAGGAGAATCGAAGTGTAAGACATGTATCTTTTCTCTTCCACAGGTTTTTGTAATTCTCAGGATAGATAAAGAAGTTGTTATAGTAAAATAAAAATTTTCATTTTCATCTATGTATGACCAGACAAACTCAAATTAATTACGATGTTCCTCCATCGATAACAAAATAAAAAACATATAATGTTGGGAAATGGAAGGTATGCGCGCATGATTCATCATCGCCAAAATCCAAATTGGGCAATCAATGATTAATATATTATTATATGCTCACGCTGTATCAAACAAAAGTTGCCTATATATCATGAAACACGTTTATGTGAAAACATTGTTAAAATTACACCCCCTCAATTACGAGTTTATAAGTAAATACAGACATCAGATATCTTCAAAGCTGTAATGATAGCAGTCGGATAAATTCAGGTCAAATTTCTAATATCGTGAATGTCCGCCCAATGTTTAGCAGACAAAATGATCAAGTTGAATGAAAAACAGAGAGAAAATAATACAATCTATAGTTTCGATTCTTGCGAATTTATAACATAGTCTGGACAAGGCCAACGCAATTACTGTTAGTAATTAACTGAGAGTAAGTTCTCCTACTTCACAATCCCAAAGGTAAAGGTAATTAGCCAGATGTTGTAAGAAAGTATATGCTGAGTGATCTGCGAGGTGTTTTAGAAGTGAGTGTTTCCTGCAATGGTGGTGGACTGGTCAGCAGATAGCGAAGGCTACTGATGATGTCCACCGCAAATGGGCAAATTAGAGATTGTTGGCATGAACTTTGTTGTTGACTTCGTGCCACTTACTGAGGTTTCAGAGGGGGAATAATGGGACTACTCTCGAGGGAGGTGTAGTGGTCGAGAGTGTGAATCACATGCATGAGGGCTTCAAATTTGTTGACATATTGTTTGACGGTGGAGAAATGTTTTGATGCAACTGGTCATAAGAGGAAAGGAACGTAAGCTTTAGTTTGTGTTGACCTTATTTCATTGACTCCACATTAAATGTTATCAGTTAGACCGACACTAGTCAAAGCTAAGATAATCATCAGTAATATGTATAAGCTTTTATATGCTTTTGTATATTTCTCTCTTTATGGAGATGATTAAATTTTAAATAAATGTTTCTAAATAAATAAATTTTAAAACAATAATCTATTTAAGATAAAAATATAATTTACTAATTAATTATTTAAAATCTATTTATTTTAATATAAATAAATCAGACTAATTAATTAAAAAATAAATAAATTTTACCTTTTTTTTTAAAACCGTAATGTCCGAGAATACACAAGATTATTTTACCTACCTAAACTTCATTATCATGACTTGAAGTTGAAGAATTACGTGGTATCTAAATAAAAGGTCTCCTTTACGTGATTATTTAACTTATTCATTTCGAGTCTTATCGTCTATAATTTGAGATTGAGTTTACGTAATATCCAAATAAATTATATTATTATGTAACTAATTTACTGATTGGATCATGACGTGAACGATTTTCTCTCTTAAAAATATGATCCATAAAATTTATTCAAAATTATTGTAAATTTTATATAACGAGAATCAAACTATTTAATAATATATCGAATCTTAATCTAAATATTCTAAATCTAAAACAGTACATCCATTGAAAATAGAATTAGAATTAGATTAAAATCAAATTTATTAAATAAAAAATATAACTTAATAAAAATCTGAGGATGTTTGGATAGAAAAAAATAAGATAGAAACTAACTCAACGTATATTTTGAGAGAATTCAAATAGTCGGATCAGGGGGATCTCATCTAGCATCAATAAAATCAGCCTGTAACTCCATTATTACTGCAGCTGCTAGGCGTGAGAGGTTGGTGGAAGAGAATTCTTTCCTGTTAGGTTTGTAAATATAGGGCTCAGCTCGTGAGTCAATTCTGTTAGCCACGGATTCGAATCGGTTAAGCTACAAAAGTTTAAAATTCTTTAATAGTGAATCGGTTGATCTATTTTTCTTAATTTTTAATATTTTAATTTTTCTATCCATATATTTGTGTAAATTTATATGAATAACAAAAATATTTTATTAAATCAATCTATATAACTTATTTATATTAGTAAGTTAATTTATCTAATCTATTTATTTTAATAATTTTAGAAAAAAATTAAGTTAATCAATCCATCTAACTTATCAATACATATCAGTAAAATTAAGTTATGAAATTTTTGGTTTATAAAAAATAAACCAAATTAAATTGATCAATTTTTACCATAATCCGTGATGAATCAACTCATAACAAAAAATACCAATTTTTAACATATAATTCGTGATTAACCGAATCTGATGAGAAAATAGACTCACTTTCAGGAGTTTGGTTAGGATGCTACCCAAACGTTTTGCCACCACTTTGTTCATGTAGGGTTTGGTACGCAGCAATCAATTGCCTAAGGTTGATTTTGCTATCTCACATTGGGTGTATTCAAACACCTTATTTTAACGAATAGAAAAAATAGTTTAAATTTTTGTCAATTAAAAATATTAAGAAATTTTCATCCTAATATTTTAAAAGTATTTGAACCGTTTTTAAGTTAGTTTCTATGGCAGGTTTTTAGTGTGATTGTTGATCCCTTATTGGTGTTTGATAGTATTAAAGTTTCATCTAAAAAGTAAGTAATTATTAGCTACTTCGTAAGATATTTTTTCTCCCTATTTCAATATTAAAATAAATAAATTAAATTATTTTAATTTTTATTTATATAAAAATGTTGTTCTAACATAAATACCTTTGATCTCATTTTTTAAATAATATAAAACTCAAAAACAAATATAACGTTGTAAATTTAGCAAAAAAGAATGATTAAAGAAATGAAAAAAAAAAAGAAAAAAGAAGAAGAAGAAGAAGACAGATACGACGTAACTGGTCGCATACTTACATATCCCACACTTGAAAAAAGGATCGTACAGCGTTATGAAGGGATCACAATAAGAAAATGGGTCCCCTTCGTATTTATGGGAATTTTACTTTTCAACGATCACTCCTTTAGGTACAATATGAACAAGGAAGGGGTGTAAACACAAAGTTAAGAAAATACATTTTTCAACGATCACTACTCTCAATTTACATTTGAAATAAGTTTAAGTCAATCTGAATTGGTGAAACTACGTTACTTTAATTTTTATAATCTATATTACATTTTAAGATAATTGATATCAATGTAAATATAGATTACGCACTATTGTTATATTATTAGTACACAATTATCTGAAAACTAAACTTTTTAAAATAAATATATTATTTTAGATTAGGTTAACACACTTTGAAGTATACCTACGATATGTCTTATCTATTAGAATAAAATCTTAAATTTGAATTTAAAAATTGTTCAATTAAATATTGAGTTGAAGAGGAAAGTGAATTAAACTTCTTAAAGTTTAAATAGATGAACTATTTTTTATAAATGGAGATAATATTTATAAAAATTAAAAGTTTAGTTAAAAAATAAAATAAAGTTAATGTTCCTAAACCTTTACTTCATAGTCAAATATAAGTATAAAAAAGCTCATATGCGGTAGTCTAAAATATATGAAAATCTTATCTAATTTCAATATATTTAATTAAATCAACAATAACTTCCAAATACTAAGTGGTTTTAGTTTCAACCATCTCTTTTGGAAAAATAAACTATTTGTATTTTTTTATTGGAAGACAAGTTTGTTTAAATTAGATATAGAGGCAGGATTTTGTTTGACTCTTTGAGTAGCTGGTTACATACTAAAAACCATATCCCAAAATCATTAATTAAAATTAAACACTCTCATGCTAGCTAGTCCATGTGCTCGGTGATTTTCCAATAAACTTTTTGAATCTCCTCATGTCCATCACATGACTTTAAAATGGACAAAAAGGTATTTTTATTTTTACATTTTCTCTTCCATTAAAATCTTTAATCAATTAGTGTTAAATATAGTTTAAAAAATATTTTTTATGAATGAAGTTAATTATTTTTTTTGCAACTTTAAAGGTGTAATCTTTTGAATTTTGTTACTTTTGTGATGTTCGCAAGAAAAAAAAATCAGATGGCGAGAATACTTTTGCATGTTTATGACTTGAATGCTCTTTTATTCTAACATACTTTTTTTGTTATTAGTTAAAATTGATTGGAACTCAGAAAATTATATAAATTACTGAATAAATGATAAAGCCATAAGATTTCACGGAGATAACTATAATTTTAATTAATAATAAAGAGTGGGTTAGAAACTAAGAATCTATTTATACATGATAGAATTTATGAAAAATGCATTAATAGATTGTACAGAATTGAAAAAGTATCCAGTAGTGTTTAAAATATTTATTCTTTATTAAGAATTACTAATTTAAGATAACATTTGTCAATTTTCATATGTGTAAAATGGCTTTAAAAAAAAAAAAAAAAAAAAAAAAAAAAGACAGAGTTGGGTAGCAAGTGTAATAAGAAAACGACGATGAGATTAGATTGCTGTCGGAAGTGGAAGTCAACGGGAGGATGAGAAACACGTGGCACGTGCCTGCGTGTGTGGAGAGAAATTAGGGAAGAGTCAACCACTGGTCTATTTACAGTCCACCGCATGCAGTATCGTATTTGTTTATCTCGAGTAACTCAGTACACAACAAACTTCGAATTCAGCAGATATTAATAAATTAATCCATCTTCAGATTCAAAACTTCTAATAAGAAACATCCAAGCTTCTTCTTCCTTGCATCCTCACTACTCATATTTTCAGCGCACGCTGCTCACTTCAATCTCTTAATTTCTCTGCTTCCCACACAATACTATTTTAATTATCTCACACTCTGTTATGTTTTGAGATCTTCACCTCCGAACCTTCTCAACTCTTTCCCCACTTACAACTTCTTTAACAATATATATACTCCCTAACTATCTCTATTTCTACACCACACTCTTTCCCTACCTTAATTTTCTTCTATTAACTCTCAACTTAGCTATACATGGCTTTCAGTGGTGGCACACCTTTGCGTAATAATGCTCTAAAACACGCTACCAAGCATCCCCCAAAACGTGCCTTTTTGCTCAAGGACTACCTCAGGGACGACCTCAGTTCGTGTTCATCCAACGGTTTTAAATCGTTGCCGCGCCGACAATGCTGCACCACCGTGGGATTCTTCGTGGAGAAAGATCTCCAACTCCAACGCAGAACGAGAAACACACTCCCTCGACGTCGACGATCCACCGTGTCGGCTCTGCAGAGAGCTTCCGGGGCCGTAATCAACGCGATAAAGTCGCTGCCGATGTCACAAAAGAATGGTAGAGCGAAGAAATGTGTTACTGCTGGTGTTCTCTGCAGAAGCCTTTCGAAGAAGCTGTTGAGTAGAAGCTTCTGGAGGAAAGCAACTGCAGTGAGGGAAGAGAGAAGCGAAGGCGTGCCTCGGAGGAGGACATCTTTCCGCGAACTCATTATGCAGGATCAGGAACATTATAAAGCGACGTCGTTAAATGAAGATACTGTATTAGCTGCCTCGAGCTTCACCACTTCTTCTGCTTGTGGCAGTAACAGTTGGGGAGAGAGCGAATTCACGTTTGCATCTACCGGTGCTTCCTCCGAGACCTTCAATGAAATCTACCTCCTGCTTGAGCCCACCAAAGAGGGTGCACCACCTCCCAAGGTAGAACAAGTAGTAACCAAGGTAAGTACTACTGTAATTTCCAACTTTCGTTCTCTTACTATCCTCTTTTTTTAAGTTGTTTTTATGTTATGGATTTGTCAGTTCAAAGGAAAAATAATGTTCATCACATTCGGCAAAACAAAAATGTTCAACTTCGTAAAATACTCGAGAATTGTAAGAAAAGGACACTATAGAAAAACTTAATGCAATATTATTAACATCTTTAATTATAAGAATATTTTTCTCTAAATCATACGATTCCCCTTATTAAAGCACAGCTGGTAGCGTGATTTGCACGTGCAGAGATTTATGCGAGGACTGGGTTGTCCACTAAGCGCCTTCGGCGGCGCTGAAACTCACTGCAATTTTTTATTAAAAATTCTGTTGAAATGAAATACTAGCGGAGTATTGTATTATTAAGTCGTAGGAGTAGGATTTGAAATAAAAAAAAATTTGTTTAGGGCTCCTTAACCTATAGCTTAAGATGATGGTTAGCAAAATCCTAGTCCAAATAGGTAATAGTTTGGGAAGCTAGGTTTCACCTAATCTTCTCTCATTTTGTGGGCGGCGGCTAAGGATACACTTTGCATTGCATAGGGTTGGGTCTATGCCCTACCTTTACCCAGTTTACTCCTTTTTTACTTCGTACTTCCAATAATTCACAACTGTTTAATATATATATTTCATTGTTAAACATTTTAATTATTTTAAAGTTTAATTTTTTAAGCAAGAACACTGGTTAACAATTTTTTAACAAATCCAAGGAAGCAATGAAACTTACAATATATATATATATATATATATATATATATATATATATATATATATATAATTTTATAATACAATTAGTTTACTTATGACTGGACATTGGCAAAAGAATAACTTTAGCCTTGATTTCAATAATGATAGATAACCTATAATATAATTGATAAAGCATTTGAAGAAAAGTTCGACGTTTTGAGTAACGTTTTAGTATTTGATACTACTACATAATTTGGTAATAACAGTTTATTAAAAGTTAAACTCTTAAATGAATCTCACCTAAATTTTTGTACACAATTTATTTTGTACCCATCCACTGCGATGTCAGAACTCTTGCATTAAAAAACTGTTAGTTGTGTCTAAAAACGATTTGATGTGTTTCTCTCAGATGAAAATGAGACTAATTAGTGAATCGAATATCTTGAAACAGGAATATTGGACAAATGAGAAGGAACAGTTTAGTCCAGTGTCTATACTAGATTGTCCATTTGAAGAAGAAGAAGAGATTTACAAGTCTCGTTTCAGATCCACTTCCACTGTTGTTTCCTTCACGGAAGGTAATGCCTTTTCTTTCTTTCTTCGCTCAACAAAATGTCATCAAATTCGATGCCTTCTTCCATTGTCTTTCCTTTTCTTTTCTGAGCAATGAAATAAATACAGGAGGCAAAAACAAGCATGGGCACAGAAGATGGCATTTAGAAAGTGTGGCTCCAGTGGTTTTAGAGAAAAGGTTCGCGTGCTTAGAGCTGGAGGATGAACCACTCAACCATTCTACAAAACAATGTTCCCCCGTAGGAGTGAGTACTCAAAATAACGTGCGTCCTGCAAACAATCACTACATCGAGGAGAATGCACATAATCTTCTCAACTTCGTCAAAGGATCAAATCCATGCAACAGTTTGATGATTAAGGCAGAGAACCTGCTGTTTGACTACTTCAAGCAGAGTATTGGAGAATGTGAAGACATTGATCACTCAAAAAAGCTTCACCTTTGCAAGGTAGCAGAGGATTGGATACATGGGCAACCCCAAGAACTATATTTGGATCGGGAAGAACAAGGAGGAAGGTGCGTCTACGTTAGGGAGATGGACAAGTGTAAGGAGTGGAAAAACTATGATAAAGAAAAACAACAATTGGGTCATGACCTGGCAAACGAAGTCTTCACAAATTTGGTTACTGAGTTAGTACTTGATCTTATGACAAGCTCTAGCCACTGAGATTAGATGCTGCAATTACCTACCTTGTTCCATTGTTTCTTTTTCTTTTTACATTAATTGTATTCTTCTCTTCTCCCTGTCTCGGGGATATGAGAGTCTAAATTTTGGAACAACTCCGGGGAATTTTTGTTTTAGTTATGATGTTTTTCTTCCCCGTATCCTGCATCAACTGTTTTGACATCTAGGGTTTAATAGGATTTGGGAGAAAAGAAACCACATTGAAATTCATCTTCTCTAAAGAACTAGCATGTAAGGGCACAAACCCTTCAACACGTGTTGATGATGAATGTAGTTGAGTGAGGATATCTAATTAAAAAATATATATAATAATATCTTCCCACCAAAAACAATGAAAATTTTGTATAGATTATTTATATGCAACCCATAACCACGCAAAACAAAAGTGCCTAGTAAATGTAAAATATTTTATATTACGAATAGTGAATTAAAATATTAAATATTTTAATCAATATTCTAAGACAATGTTGTAAAAGGGTTGAAAAAAAGACACTCAATGTAAATATTATATTTTAATTAATATTTAATTCAAATAATTTAAGTATTTCGTCACATTATAATTTTTTTTACTTGAAAAAGGTCTTCTACAAAATAAGCAAAAATAAAATTATTACACTCTCAAATAAAAGAGTTTAAATAACATTATATAAAATTATTACACTCTCAAATAAAAGAGTCATGGAACCCATCAAGTTAATTAAAAGGCCAAGTAGGGCTTAATAAGGAAAATGGGCCAACTGAAGATAGAGGGCGTGCAGATATGTTTAAAGCCCATAATTTATATACAAAGTAACTTTAGGTCAGTATGAATGATGGGTCAGAGGAAAATGAAAAGACTAATTAATTGTTTTTTGTGATACAACAGATAGATTTTATAGTAAACTGTACAATGAATCATATGTGTAGGATAAATATTATACAATATCTAAATAATATATATCATGATCATGATCATAATTAATATTAATAATAGTCATGATTTAAATATTATATTCACAAATTAAGTAAAACATTTAGGATTATTGTATCAAATTTATTTAAAATTTAATAAATAATGTATTTTAATTGTGAAATTAATATATATATATATATATATATATATATATATTATATACACGAAGAGACTTTTTTTGCCAAATTATACACTATTTAATATTTTTTATTGATTTTTTTTTAAACTTATAGTTAAATTGAAAGTTTCTTTCAAATATATTATGTATTTACAATTTTATATTAGTTTAAAATAATTTGATTTCTTGCTTTTACCTATCAAATTTCACATAGTGTACATAGTTTAAAATAACTAGAACATGGGTTATTTAATTATATTATTATTTATATTATTCAATTTTAATTAAAGTTAACATAAATAATTGTAATGATATAGCTTATAATTTAATTATTTAATTGATAAAATTAATTTTATTTTATATAAAATTATTGATATTGTAATATTTAAAAAATTTACATCTATATATATATATATATATATATATATATATATATATATTCTTACTGAATTTTATATAAAATTATGACATCAATAATTTTACATAAAAAAATTAATCGTTAAATTTTAACTTAATAATATTATTATATTTGTCAAAATTTTGTTATTGAATTACAATATCAAATAATCTATATTCTAGTATATTTTAAAAAGTATATATGAAATCAACTCTAATTTATGTATACGAAATTCAAATGATAATATATATATATATATATATATATATATATATATATATATATATATATATATATATATATATATATATAAGAATAAGCTTTTAATTTAATGGCAATTTTTGAAAAATGTAATAAAATAAAAATATAAAATTATGTAACATTTAATATAAATTATATTACGTCATTTCATCTTTCTCTCTGTATATAGGTTATATATTTTCGTATACATGATATGATGTTGATACGAATTTTACTTTTTATTATCGTATAATTATTTTAATATATTAAAAGTGAAAAACACATTATTTTTTTAATATTTTCAGAATTTTTTTATTCTCTCTAAATTTGTAGGTTCTCTTAGAAAAAAATAAAGAGAGAGAGGGAGGAATTGATATAATTAATTGGTAATGAGCATAAAACCTGTTGAGTGTGTCTCTGTGTAATTAATTGGTAGTAAGTTAGGAACGATTGGAATGTAATTTGTGTAGCAATTAATTGATTCAGTTACTGTTTATTTTCTATCTGATACCTGAAATGTTTCCATTGCCATTTAACTTGCATCCACCAGTTTAGAGAGAGATTTTTAAGTTTGTTATTTTGATTTTTTTTACGTTAAACATAAATTCTACATTAATACGAGACACATAAAATTTCGTGGAACCTTATTATAATCAAATCAATTTTATACGTCAAATATTCAAATGTTTTAATTGGTCATGATGCTTCAAGCATTATGGCAATTCATCTCAAGAATGAATTTACTTGCTAAGTAAATATCACTTATCCCATATTTACTCAGCTGTGCAATCTTTTACACCAGTAATATGTTCCTGAAAATCCAGATTTTCTATCAGGTTTTGAAGTCCAGTTCTTGGTTCATTTTGAATGTATAATCATTTTCAAGCATAACTTGCAACCGTTAAAAAAAGATAATTTTGATTTGTTGTGTATTCCTCCAATGAAAGAATAGACACAGTTCAATGCACATGCACTGCCGCTGGCATCAAAAAGAGATCATTTTGGTCATATGATGTCTTACACTTTAAATTAACGTGTGCATGCAAGAGCAAGACAAAGAAATCGTGTCAGTGATTTACATTGTTAAATGGGACAAATCATTTGTTTATATTATGGAGCAAAAAAATATTGCCCATGGATTGTTTTGGAGGGATTGAGGAATGCGGCCAATTGGCTCAATCAAATGCAACCATGGAAGAGAATTTGCCTGCTGCTTTTGTGGGGAAGAAATTTTAGCCTGAGATAATGAACAATAAGAGTAAACTCTTTTGGAGAAAAAATTGGTTTTCTACTTCAAATTTAGCAATTCATCCTGATATTTAGGAGTCATGCTTTATTGCATCTTTATATTCTCATAGGTATTTTTTAACTATGGTTAATGATCATATATTCTACATATTTGGGTGCATTTAATGATGAATAAATCTAAAATACACCTACACATTATTCATTTAACTGTACATATTAAAAATCAGTTTAAAACTAGTATCAAGATCACCAAGTCAGACAATAGTAATGAGTTTTCCATGCATGATTACTTTAATTTTGAAGGTACAGTTCATTAAACATCTTGCAATAAAACACCTCAACATAATAATATAGTTGAAATAAAACATCTATCTTTTGAATGTTTCTATAGCTTTCACTAGTACAAAAATGACATTTTACGTCACCCAATTGTCGTCGCATGTCAAAATATTCGACGTAAATAAAACGTGGTGACAATTTTGTAAATAAGAGATGAAACTTTTACGTCGTATATTGTAAGAGGTGACGTTAAAAACCTTTTTTACGTCGCACCTGGTACAACGCGATGTAAAAGAGAGTTTTTTAAGTCGCGTGGGGTGTGCGCGACATAAAAAATGATACTTTTTACGTCACGTGGGAGGTGTGCAACGTAAAAAGTATCATTTTTTACGTCACATGGGGGTACGTAACGTAAAAAGTAATACTTTTTATATCACGTGCGGGGTGCACGACGTAAAAAATATCACTTTTTATGTCACATGGGGTTGCGCGACGTAAAAAGGATACTTTTTACGTCACATGGGGGTGCACGACATAAAAAACACTTTTTACGTCGCGCACCCCCACGCGATGTAAAAGAGGTTTTTTACGTCACGTGCTAGGGTGTGCGACGTAAAAAGTTCTTTTTATTCTCTTCCATACCCACTCCCGCATCTCGCGCCGCAAGGGTTTTTTAGAATGACAATGAGAATGACGACGACAACTACCTTTCCACACCATTTTTGATCATTTTGGCAGTGAAGAACATCAACATTGTGTCTCATTTTACAAATTTGACATTTCTCCCCGATTGGATTCGAGTTTGAAATCGTTTTCGTGTTTACTCGAGGTTAGTGTTCTATGTCTCCATATATATGTTCAAATTGAATCCGTGATTGTTTTTGGGGATCTCAATCACGTCATTGTATGAATGTCTCCACTGGATTGTTATTGGAATGTTATTATTTTTTTTAGTGCATTTTCGGTTTACACACTCCATATACGTGTTTTGTTGTTTGTATATTAATTTATTTTTAAATATAAATTTTGAATCTCTAGGAGTGACGAAACTTTATAACATAATATGAATCGAAGTTGGATGAATGCACGTCGTATTAGTGAAGAGTACGAAAAGGGAGTTGATGAATTTTTGAAATTTGCTAGTGAAAATGGAAAATGTATTGAATAATATATGGCTTTTTTCATTTAGAATCGTGTCTATAACTAATGTTCTAAGTGGAAAACCCAGAACAAAGACTTTGCAGTTCATTTATCCTAAGGTTAGAAACTTATTATAATAAGTGAATACCATAATTATTGTTTGTATTTAAATTTTGAAAATAACATTATATTTTATTCATAATTTCAGTGTAATAAGCAAACAGACTCATTTGAATGTGGTTACTATGTTATGTATTGGATGAGAGCCATAGTTTATGCGGGTATAACTGATTCTTGGATGGAGGTAATTACTTTCAGCATTAGTTAAGTTTATTTAACTTTATGTGTGTTGCATATTTACAAGAGTCAAATTAATGTTTCAGGTATTTCAAGATCCATCTCCATTGCCAGAATATGATATCACACAAATTAGAGAATAATGGGTAAGGTTTTTCGTTCAACAATTCTAGTACTTAATTTTTTAGGTTATTGTTTATATTATATTGTGTGTATTATGTATTTTAGGTAGCTTTGTTTGTACTAACTTTTAGTTTGTACTAACTTTTAGTTTGTATTAACTTTTAGTTTGTAATAGATTTTAGTTTGTA